TGTGTGTGTGTGAAATTATTGGATATAATAACTGTGGAATCCAAATAAAATAGAAGGAAATTATCTACAAAATTCTCAATTTAGCTATAGTTTTTTTTTTTATCAGAAAAAAGTAATAAATAAACAAGGTACATAACATTGAAATATACATCAATAAAAAAGACAAGTGTAAGAGCATCACCGTTAAGCAAAATCATCCCAATTTAAGAATATTTAAAGTAACTAAGGTCGAGGCTCCATAATCACATAAAAAGATAAGAAATGAGGCTGACATGTGAGCCCGAATATCCTCTCCTGAAGAGTGGAAGTGATGTATATTCATAGTTAAAAGAATTAAAATATACAAGTTCAATAAAATGAGTAATTTAATATTTATTAAAAGTTTAGAGTTCTTATTGTAATAAGACATAAATATACTATAACTTTTTGCATAAATTATAACAGTAGCACCTGAATTTTATTGTTTGTATCATTTTAGTTTTTATAATTTCATTTGGCTCAATTCTGACCTTTAATTTTATATTTTGCGCCAATTTGGTTCAACTAATAATAGAGTTAGGATTTTTAACGAAAAATTATCATTGTATTGGTTGAAATTAAATCATTGAATTAATCAAATTTATAATTTTGTTTTTAAAAGCACAACACATGCCACTCATGTGTCCATTCATCATAAAAAAGAAAAAGAAAAAAAAAAGCCAACAATTAGAATTAATTAGACCAATTTGAGATAGAGTCAAAGATTTAAGATCAATATCGAGTCAATTAAAATTACAAAGACCAAAATAACACAACATTACCCTAACTTTGTAGGCTGAGCTGGGATTTTGTTGTTTTAGAAGATTGGATTTTATGGGAACAATGAGTAGGTGCAAACGAGTTCGGATCCTCGGCCGCATAATCCTGTTGCCATCCCTATGGTCCCCCCCCCCAAAAAACAATGTCATTTTGGGGGAAATTTCAATTTAAAAAAAAAGAAAAAAAAGAACAGAAACCAGAGGAGGAGAAGAAGGAAGGAAAAAGGGAGAAGAAGAGGAGAGAAGAAGGGAGAAGAAGCGAGGAGAAGAAGGAAGGCAGATCCGAGCAAACCAGAGGGGGAGAAGAAGGAAGGAAGAAGGGAGCAGAAGTAAGGCAGCTAGCTTTCACCCACTGCTATCGTCGCTCACCTGTTTCTCTTTGTCTCTTTTTCCTTCAACATTGAGGCTTCGATCCGGCCCCCCTCGGTCCTCTCTCTCTGCAAAAAAGACCCAAAATCATAGTCAATGAGATAATCTGGACAAAACCTAGAAATCTTGCTTTTGTAGAGAGAATCAGAGGAGATGGTTGTTTGTAGGGGTGTGCGCGGTGCGGGTCGGTGCGGTTTGAGAGAAAAATAGAAACCGTATGGCGGGTGGCGGATTGATAAAAGTGTCACTAGAATTTGCCATTTTCCTTATCAAAAACGGCGGTTCGGTTGGCAAATAATGACGGATTTGCCTTGGCGGTTCGGGCGGATTGGCGGTTTATAAAAAATATAATTCAAATTACAAAACTTAAATTAAAGAGTAAAAAAAAGACGAGAGATACCGTGATGTTAAGCATCTTGCGAAGCTTTCTTCTGATGCAGCAAGTGTAGCAACAACATGATAATATCAACGACTATGCCATCAGGTCATTACAAGTATCTGTGGAAGCTACAATGATCAAATACAATACATAAAATTAATATCATTCAGGGTTTACAATATATTGAAAATGTTTACTGTTGAAAAATATTTAGATTGAAAAGTGAGCTGATGCAAGTTTGCAACATGACCAGGAAAAAAAAAGATTGAAAAGTGAATTGGAATCTAACTTTATTTTGGATTACTGACATCTTGAATTCCCCTCGAGCAGTAATGTGATACTATATTATAAGGTATAGAACAACAAGCAAACTTAAGTAAAAAAGAATTTTTAGAATCTTATAAAACATGATTTAATAGTGCTGCGAGTCGGTGCGGTTTGGAAGAAAAATAGAAACCGGCAGATTGATAAAAGTGTCACTAGAATTTGTCATTTTTCTTACTAAAACCGGCGGTTCGATTGGTAAATAATAATGAATTTGCCTTGGCGGTGCGGTTCGGTGCGGTTTCGGCGGTATTATGCACACCCCTAGTTGTTTGTGTGGTTGAGAGGAAGACAAACTTCATTTGGGTTTGTGTAAAGAGTTAGGGTGGGTTTGAATTTGGCCCCCCTCCGTCCTCTCTCTCTTCTTCCCCTCTAGTTTCTGGGTTTGATTTTGGTCCCCCCCTCCATGCTCTCTCTCTTCTTCCCCTCTGGTTTCTGTTCTGTTTTTTTATTTTTTAAATTGAAATTTCCTCCAAAACGACTATTTTGGGGGTGCCACAAGGACGACGGCAAGATTGTGCGGCTAAGGATCCGGACTCAAGTGGAAACAAGCGAAAAGAGTATAAAAAATTGTCCAGCCCACTCTTTGCTTCTAAACCTCATAAATTATTGAATAAGGGTTCATTTCATTTTTATTTTTTAAAATATAACCATTTTTCTTATTTCTTTCTGAAAAATCTAGAAATCCCCTAGATGTTGATTTGTGATTATGTATCAATTTTAAGCAGAATATAACAATCCCAATCAAAGGGTTTACAATATATTGAAAATGTTTACTGTTGAAAAATATTTAGATTGAAAAGTGAGCTGATGCAAGTTTGCAACATGACCAGAAAAAAAAAAAAGATTGAAAAGTGAATTGGAATCCAATTTTATTTTGGATTACTGACATCTCGAATTCCCCTCGAGCAGTAATGTGATACTATATTCTAAGGTATAGAATAACAAGTAAACTTAAGTAAAAAAGAATTTTTAGAATCTTATAAAACATGATTTAATAGTGGTGCGAGTCGGTACGGTTTGGAAGAAAAATAGAAACCGACAGATTGATAAAAGTGTCACTAGAGTTTCCTATTTTTCTTACCCAAAAATCGGCGGTTTGATTGGCAAATAATAACGAATTTGCCTTGGCGGTGCGGTTCGATACGGTTTTGGCGGTTTCGGCGGTATTATGCACACCCCTAGTTGTTTGTGTGGTTGAGAGGGAGACAAACTTCATTTGGGTTTGTGTAAAGAGTTAAGGTGGGTTTGATTTTGGCCTCCCTCCGTCCTCTCTCTCTTCTTCCCCTCTTCAAAGAAAACAAACAAAATATCCCCAGATATAAACTTTAAGAACCAAAAAGAAGATCTGGAGGACTTCAATCAATCACTTAGTTTTGGGAGAAAACCAAGTATTTATAGAGAACTAAAAGTAATCCAAGATTGGGAAGAAAACAAACTTCTTGAGAAATCCGAATTCTGAGGTTCGCTCGAGCGAAGCTTTTCTGGCTCCTCTCTTCTTCCCCTCTGGTTTCTGTTCTGTTTTTTTTTTTTTTTTTTTTTTAAAATTGAAATTTCCCCCAAAACGACTGTTTTGGGAGTGCCACAGGGACGGCAGCAAGATTGTGCGGCCAAGGATCCGGACTCAGGTGGAAACAAGCGAAAAGAGTATAAAAAATTGTCCAACCCACTCTTTGCTTCTAAACCTCATAAATTATTGAATAAGGGTTTATTTCATTTTTATTTTTTAAAATATAACCATTTTTCTTATTTCTTTCCTACTATCATTCTCGTATATTTAGTTCTATTTAATTTTTATTCATGTAGTCTAATTGTGCAGATCAATAATCTTTGAAGTCCAATTTGATAGATAAAATATTATTTGAAAATTCTAACTTCAACCATATAACAAACGACAATGCTACGTAGCTCAAATTTTGTGGCTCAAAAGTGGCTCAAATGGTCAAAACGACGTCGTTTTGAGTACAGAACAACATAAAAATGGCCAAAACGATGTCGTTTTGACCATTTGAGCCACTTTGAAAGGAGTTTTGTCAAACGGGGTTGCCAAGAATAAAAACCTAACACTTTCCTACTATCATTCTCGTATATTTAGTTCTATTTAATTTTTATTCATGTAGTCTAATTGTGCAGATCAATAATCTTTGAAGTCCAATTTGATAGATAAAATATTATTTGAAAATTCTAACTTAAACCATATAACAAAATACTCATTTTTTTACTATTTTTGAGCAACAACAATGTTAGAGACCCACATTTTGTACCCACAAATGCATCAATGTGGTAAGAGTGATGGTTCTCATATCATTGAGTGTTTAACCAATCAAAAATTGATATTTGTCAGATTACATTATTGTGGGTTGAATTATGAAAAATTTATGAGGGTCTCAAACATTTTCCTTTGAGGAAACAATAAAAAATAACCAATTTAATGGGCTAATGATTGTATGATTTAATTTATCCAAATTATAAAATTATATTTTTGCCCATCGAAGTAAGCGTCAACGTTACTGATTTGTATAATCATTTTCAATTGGACCACATGAACAGAAATTACAAAATTTAAGAATTAAATAAACAAAATTAATAGTTTAAAAATGAAATAAATAAAATAGTGAATAATACAGGGCATTATTAATTTACCCAAGTTGTGAACACATTTTGACAGTTAGGCCTCGTTTGACAAGTGACTTTTTTAGTCAGAAAGTCACTAAAAAAATTAAAAAGTCAACAATCTATATTAAAAAGTCAAAGATTCCCCTTTTTCTCTACTTTTTGCACATCTTTTCATAAAAAATCAAAAAGTCATCTCAAACATGCTAGTTTTTTTTACACCATATTTTAGCTAAAAAGTCAAAAAATTACTAAAAAATTTTGTTCCCAAACGAGGCCTTAATTGCCTCTTTTTTCTTAAAAAAAAAATAAAAATAAAATAAAAATCTACTGAACTTTATATTGACATACTATTGCTAGGCAAGTGACACAAGCTAGATTGCGAAGCAATATTGAACCTTCTGGATCAACCAGACCCAAAAAAACACACATACTTGGCAAATTAAATTTCAAAATTCCTGAAACACACAATGGAAAGGAAAAAAAAATAAATAAAAAAGAAGCTTGACTTCAACATATGCATAAAAAAAAAATCATTGTTTTATTGAATTTTTACTCGAACATCTGATCAGATGCTAATAGACTACATGAACTCTTTATCATCCTCCATAGCAAGAAACTTCTCGGGTAACAGGCAAACTTCAATGTCGATGCTCCCTTCATCCACCCCAGGAAAAAGCGTTACCTTCCCATCGCCCTTGTTTGATAATCCGCTTCTCACTGCCACCGGTTTTCCCCAACCTAAATCATTACCATATACATTGAACCGAGGCGAACTACTCGTGTACAAAGTAGCACTCGCCGAATCTCTCATTGTCACTAGTTTAGGGTTTTTCACCCAGCAGTTTAAGAAGTTCCTGACTACCTCATTTGTTTGCAAAGCAACTGCCTTGTTTATTTGCAAAGCAGCCCAACCTAATCCATTCTCGAGCAGCTCGCCCACGGTAGTGTTTACAATCTCAACATGAATTGCATTCCCAAAATACCCTTCTGGTAGTGAGGGTTTCAATCTTTGCCTTGCACCTATAACTATCTTGTATCCCACCTCTTGGTTCGTGTCATTGATAATTTGGCAACGTACGACAAATCGCCAAAGATGAGCCAACAGTGCTTGGAGAGAGGAGATAGTGGTGGTGCTCATCTCCGCATTGGCTTTGGCTTTAAGTTTTGCAATTTTCTCTTTCGTGAAATGAAAAACCCTTTGTTCTACTGTGGTTGGTACAATGAATTCATTGTCTAGTTCATCGGAGCAAAAAGGCATTCGAATAGGGCAATTGATATCACCACTTGGAAACCAACGGTTGAGAAATGGAGGTCGCGATATGTTGTCAGAACCACGCGATATTTCTGACCAAGAATTAAAGAATTGCCAGAAAGACGTACCATCACCGATTACGTGATTCATTGTACAACCGATGAAGAAGCCATCGATGAGCTCAGTTACTTGAACCGCAATCAAGGGTTTGGAAACGCCTTCGTGGTTAAGGACACCATTTAGTGGGAAGAAAGAGTTGACAATATGCGGCACGTACATGGGATCAAGGATATCATTGATAGTGATATTGTCAGCAACTGTATGAATGAAATGAGCTCCGGCATTGTTACAATCTACGAAGAAAGATGAGGTGTTGTCGTTGTTTTTGATGATGCCAAGCCGGCCAGAGAGGAGAGGGAAGAAGTCGAGTGTGCGAGAGAATGAGATCTTGAGATGATCAACTATGGTGTTTGCTAGTAGTTGTTGTTGTTGTGATGGTGTGGGTTTGAGGAAGAGAAGACCCTTTTGGATAGGGCCAACTAAGAGACCTTGGAGATCCCATGGAGTCAACTCAATCCTTTCACAGTGGTGACTTGAAGATTGGACTACACTAGTAGAGATGAGCCTAATTTCCTCCATGTTTCTTTCTCTCTATGCAATTACTTCTACATTTGATGCGCAAGCTCAGCTTCTACCAGTCAATAGTTATAGTAAGATGAAACATGAGAAATTTTTTTATTTATTTTTCATTTTTAATTGTCATATCTTTAATTTAATATTTTAATGCCAATTTGAAATCCAGACGTGAGGATATCAATCAAGTGCATCTTACTTTGTTTGAGAATCCCCACTTTTTTTTTCCTCCAATGCCGTGCCTCTCATGTGTTTATATTTTGTTTTTTTCTTTTAAAATAAATATAAAAAAAAAGATTTCTTCTAATTTAATCTCAATCTAAATCTTTTGTTAAAATATAAATTGGATCACAAATCAAAAAAATATATATAAATATACACACATGTAACACATGAAATTAAAATAGTACAAGAGTCGCTTATTTTGACCACAAGGATTAGTTGTAACAATTATTAATATTACAAATGTATTTATATATATATATATATATATTATAATACAACTATTATTGAGATCTCCAAATTATTATATTCAAACAGGATTATTAAACTACAAAACAGACTAAAGCAACCCAAATTAATCAATCATATAAGATACTTATGTATAAATTCGTATGTACTGTAATCTAATTAATTTCTCTTAACTAGAAAAATCAAGGATAAATCCCTCTTCAAATTTTTTGTCAAGTTCTAATCTATTAAAAATTTGCTTAACAAGAAAAAAAATCATGTAAATAGTCAAAAATAGCATCAAAACGCTAAAAAATCCTAAAATTCTTTATTATCCTACAACTCTCACTCTCTCTGCTGTCTCTTCTTCTCAGCGTCGCCACCTTTGTTATTACCTCAACTACCGTCCACTGGCACCACCCCTACAGTCATTCATACATCTATTTTAATCAGTTGAACCTCACCAATCCAGATCTAGATTGTCGCTCATCATTCATCATTCCAAAACCAATGTTCGTACTTCTTGATGAGAATCACACTATAATAGAGCAAGGGCAGCAGATCAAGGATGGTTCTAGATCAAGTGCATCATCTGATAAGGTTGAGGAGTAGCGTATAATATCTCATATAAAGTTGTTACAATTGGCGGATGGTTAGGGGTTAGTTAGAGGATTGGTTCTATAGTTAGATATAGCTTAGGTGTATGTCATATCTTGAATAGATATATATATTACTCTGTACTATAGTTTATTCATTTAATAAAGAAATACTTCATCTTTTTCAGTTTTGCTTTATGGTATCAGAGCTATAGCTCCAACGAGCATAGATGTCACGCCCCAAAATTTAGACAATTAAATATTAAATTAGGACTAAACCTCAATCAATATTTCATCACCCAAATCCTAGGGTGAAACAAAAAAAAAAAAAAACCTAAACGCCAACCAAACCATCCATCATAATTTCATAACTAACCAATACCTCTAACATTAACATTAAAGTAACAATACAAAGTCAAAATATCTTAAATAATGTATGGTTACAAACCATGCCAAATTATCCCAATACTAAAGTCATAAAAAAAATAATAAATACATAAACTAGTATCAAGCATAAGCTCAAGAAAACAAAAGAGGTCCAAACGACAAGTCCAACACTATAGTAATTCCACGTCACCAACGTAGCCCCAACTAATCCTGCAAAGGAAGCTCGGCTGCGCTCAAACAGAACGCACCCGAGTTGCCAAGAGACAAAACGGGTCAGTATACAGATATACTGGTATGAGTACAAGATTCAACACCACGTGTTTACCAGACACAAACAAAAATACATTAAATTCTTATTACAGGACAAGACAAGTAGTTCCAACCGCACCGAGACGAATGGGTACTTTCTCGAGATACGGTGTCATTTAGTTTCTTATCCGTACACAACGAAATATAAATTGATTATAAAATAATCAAAATAGAAATAAAAATATGGTAAGTCAGCCCTGCCCTACATAAAAAATTAGTGACCCACCATCCTGTAAAAAAAATAAAGTTAGTATAATTTAATCATAAGTAACTTACTGAAGAATTATAAAAATGCACTGTTTTATACTTAAATAATTCAAATTAACAAAAACTTAAAGAACGAAAGCTGTATAGAATCAAATTTCCTAAAAGACAGCATGGACGAATTTAATAGAAACTAAACAGGTTGAGAGAAAAATTTAATAGAAAAATCGCGACGAAATTCAGTCAAAAAAAATCTGAAGCTGAAAACGAACAAAAACTGCCCTAAGGTGATTTTTTTGGGAAAAGTTTAAAACACAAAAAGTATGCATAATAATGTTTTACTTCTGTTTACGCGAAACCAATAAAAATGAGCTCGTTTCGTGGGTTAAAACAACCTCTAAAAGCTGCATTGCCAAAATTAATCAAAACTACAATAATCAAGATCATTCAATTATAAATTCTAATCGATCTTTTTAATAAAAAGTTAAAACACAAAAGTTGTCTAGAATCACGTATACATGCCTCTACTCAAATTTCATAATTTATCGATGTCGTTTACTATTTTTCAACCTGTACAAATCAATACAATACACACTATAACAATCATCTCATAATTAAATTCTTTATACCTTAACTCCACCACTTCGGCCCTCCCCTTCCGGCCTACACATATATCCCATGTGCCTCCCGTATACCTAACACCGCTCCGAAGCCAAACTTGCACGGGGATATCGTCCCGAGTTTGACTCACACTCCCCGGATGGTTAGCATATACGTACGCGCGCAAATCAAAGCACTCGTCTACTCATGAGAACGAGGCAACAATATAAATAACATCTCATCAACATCATGAGACAAATATAACAATGCCGGGCATAAGGCATTAAACAACTCTCATAATCCTCACTTTTTTATACACTATTTCTCCCCATCACTCAAATAAAATAACAATCCATGGAGTCATGGTGGAGTATAAGGAATTTATCTATAGGTTCTTAATTAATTTTAATTTCATATGACCATGAGTGTAATTACAACCATAAAATAAATCCATATAAAAACCCTAAACCTTGCATATACAACTAATCAAAACAATTAAAATCAATCAATCATCTAAAAACCCTAAACCTTACACAAACAACCAATCAAAATAATTAAAAATCAATCAATCATCTATAAACCCTAAACCTTACATACACAACTAAACAAAATAATTAAAATTAATCAATCATCTAAAAAAAAACCTAAACTTTACCTACACAACTAATCAAAGTAATTAAAATCAATCAATTATCTAAGAACCCTAAACTTTACATACACCACTACTCAAAATAATTAAAATCAATCAATCATCTAAAAACCCTAAACCTTACACAAACAACCTCAACTCTTTGAATTTGATTACTCTCTCTCTCTCTCTCTCTCTCTCTCTCTCCTTTCCCCCGTGGCTGCTCTACTCTCCCGTGGCTGCTCTTTTCCAAATTCACTTTTCTTTTCTTTGATTCCCTTCCCCCGTGGCTGCTCTACTCTCCCGTGGCTGCTCTCTTCCAAATTCACTTTTCTTTTCTTTGATTCCCTGTTTCATATTCTAACCTAATTCACTTTATATAATATTATATTAAAACCTAATCCTATTTAAACTTAATAAACTATTATAATATATTATATTATATATAATTACAATATATATAAATATATAAATATAAGATAATATATATATATATATATATAACACCCTTTTTTTTATATAACAAATATAAATATATAAATCTTTAGATTAATTATATATAATTAAATAACACATTAAATTAATTAATAACAACATTAAATTCATTAAATAACACATTAATTTCTCATGTGACCACACAATTAATAAAGTCAAAAATAAAATAAGATAATAATAATCATAATAATAAATAAATGACTTAAGAAAATTAGGGTCGCTACAATATACACACCTCAAAAGAATCTCGTCTCGAGATTCGATAGAAAAGAGTACTAAACAAAAAGTTCCAGGTGCATACGCCGAACTTTCTCTTCTAACTCCCAGGTGATATCGTTCTCATCTTCATTTCACTGCACTTTCACCAGGTTCACTTTCTTACGTCGCAACTGCTTTACATCTCGATCTAGAATAGTAACTGGTCACACCACATACGTGAGATCATCATTAATCTCCAACACTTCTGGTGATACTACTTGGGAAGGGTCTTGCATACACTTCCGCAATAAGGATACATAGAACACATTGTGAATCATTGCTAAAGCAGGTGGTAAAACTAATTTGTAAGCCACATTACCAATCCTCTCAGTGATATCGTATGGTCCCACAAATCTAGGTGAAAACTTTCCCTTCTTTCCGAACTGCATGATACCCTTCATCGGTGAAACCTTCAAAAACACAAAATCTCCAACATTCAACTCAACCCCCTTACGTTTTCTATCAGCGTAACTCTTCTGACAACTCTGTGTAGTTTTAATACGTTCCCGAATAATGTTCACCTTCTCCGTGGTATTTCTCACCAACTCTGGCCTTAACAATGGCGCATCTCCTACCTTCATCCAACAAGCAGGTGATCGACATGGCCTCCCATACAAAGCCTCAAAAGGTGCCATCTCGATACTGGAGTGATAGCTATTTTCATAAGCAAACTCCACCAATGACAAGTGTTCTTCCCAACTACCACCAAGATCGAGGACACAAGCTCTCAACATATCCTTCAAGATTTGATTTACCCATTCAGTTTGCCCATCTGTCTGAGGATGATAAGCCGTGCTCAAGTCTAACCTAGCACCCAAAGCATGCTGAAAACTCTCCCAAAACTCTGTCACAAATAACGAATCACGATCCGAAACTATAAAAACTGGTGCGCATGAAGTCGCACCACCTCCCGAATATACAGCCTAGGTAGTTTATCTGCAGCTCGGTGAACACTAATAAGAATAAAATGAGCAGACTTGGTGAGTCGATCCACTATCACCCAAATAGATTCGTTGTCTCACTTAGACCGCGGCAATCTATCCACGAAGTCCATAGAGATCCAATTTCCAAGTAGGAATCTCAAGAGGCTGCAAAAGTCCAAACGGTCGTTGGTGTTCTGCCTTAACTTGTTGGCACACATAACATCGAGAAACATGCTCTCCTACATCTTTCTTCATACCTTCCCACCAAAACGTCCTCTTC